GCCAGCTTTCACAGGATGACTGGAACCAGCTACCCCAGTCTGAGCAGACCCGACAGCTAAAATCCATGGGTCTGATTCGTATCAGACTGACTGATTTCAGTCCTGAGCCCCTCCAAATTCTGCTGGATAATGTCGCAGCCACCCTGACCACCCTGCATTTGGAAAACTGTGGGATCACAGATGCGCAGGTCTGCGCCTTTTTGCCTTCGCTGAGCTGCTGCTCCCAGCTCACTACCTTCTGCTTCATAAGGAATTTCATATCCATAGGCACCATGAAGAAGCTGCTGTGCCACACTGCCAAGCTCAGGAACTTAAACAGGGAGCTGTATTCTGCTCCTCAAGAGGTTTATGTTCCCAGGGATGGTACTCTTCAGCAGATGTGGAACGAGGTACATGAAGCACTTAGGGAGATGATGAAACCACTAAACCACCCCAGGACTATCTTGTTTTGTGTTTCCGGTGATCTCTTTTGCCAAAGGGCAATGTACTGCACGCACCCTAACCCATGCCCAGCCTGTATCCCCATCTAGTTGAATGCACATTTCCCATGCTGCCTTCTGGCCCCAGGAACACACAGGTCTTCTCTCAGTGTGAGTGAGAAAAAGATAGCATGGCAGCAGACAGCAACGTTGGAGAATCATGGACCTGAGAGGGGAAATGTCTTCTGTGGACCTGAGTCCACGGGGTCAGAAACTGGAATTTGAGTTGTTAGATGTTAATTCATCCTTCGCATAAATGTGTGCACAGATGTAATGGAATGATCAGAAATAAAGAGAGTTGTGTGTGAATCACTGCTGTCTTCCACAATCATTTTACCTGTTTCCAGCTCAGAGCTCATGAATCTGTAGTTACTGAGGAGAAAAATCCCAAGTTTTCCAATCAGTGAGGTTTGGTCTCAGGAACTCACAGCAGCAAGCAGAGATATTCCATATTGTACATTCCCTTCCAACCTGTAAGTTTTTCTAACCACATGTTCCCTCCATGTTTCCTGGGTTTTCTCCATTTCCTAACACGCCCCTGTCCGTGGGACACATTGCAGAACCTTGTCAATGAACGGTAGCCACAGAGCATTTAGTTTCTTGCCAAAGTGCTTCTGAATGTGTAGACTGTGCTGGCACTTGAGCTATCCTCAGCCCTAATGTTCCAGAATGATCCAATAACAGTTGTGGAGATTTATGGTCAGTGTTTTCTTCCTGATTTCTGTACCTTTCTGTTGGGTTACTCGATGGTTGCCAACAGGAAATGCATTTCAGAGACCAACTCTCTAAAGTAGGGCTCCTTTGGGAAGTGCAGGGATTGTGATCAGGAGCACACCTGCTGTGGGAGGCCCCTGCTGAGCCCGAGGTAGAAGAAACAAATGGGAAACTTCCAGGGAATATGAGGCCTTGTGAGCTGCTGTGATCACAAATTTTGTGCAGACAGCTTCCTGTGGTCCGAGGACCATACTCAAGGCCTGGAACGCTCTAACAGGAATGGGAAAAACTCCTTCCCTTGGACTCTTAGTGTCACATGACAACAAAATTGTTGACACTGGTCATGGGTGGATTGAACAGACTCAGGTTTTGGTCCTGGATTGTGCAGACAAAGTGCTTCACTGCCCAAGGGAAGGCTGCCCTCCGAGGGCTGCAGTGACACCACATTCTACACAAATAAAGCAAAACAAAACAAGGAACAGAGAAGCAGGTTGGCGGAAAGGCATAGTGCTTGATCACCAGTGTCACGAAACTCTAAAGAAATCGAAACAAAGTCTCCTGGATCTTTTCAGTGTAGTTTACTTGAATTTCTGAACTGCTTTTTACTCAAACAGAACTTTCCTCAGCCTCCTGTTATTCTTCCAACTGAAAGCCCTGGCCACTACCCATGGTTGCACCCTGCCTCAGAAATGTCCCCTGAGAGAAGAACCCTGACACTAAAGACAAAGGTCATTGGTCAGATCCACTAGGATGACCAGGTCATGGGGTTGGACCCATGTTTCCTGCTCTGCAACCACCCCAAGGAGACTTGGAAATGTATGAACATCTCATCTGCCCATAGGAACTGCCCTTTCAGCTCCATGTCCACTCCTGTCTTAGAGTTCCCCTTCTCAAGCCAGTTCCCTCAGGTAATCACATTGGAAACACCCTTTCCCACTTGTGACATCATAGGCTAAGTGTCCCTGAAGGCCCTCAGTGATAGAGTTGGGTCTTATTATCTATATATTTTTCATTTATTTATGCCATCTTTTTGTGACAGAGTCTCACCATGCCTTTCATGTGGACCTTGAGCTCACTTTTTCTCTCAGGCTGGTATTGAACTCACTATGATCCTTTTCATTCTGCCTCCTGAGTGCTGGGATTATAGGCATGTGCCACCATGCCTGGTAAGTATTGGATCTTAAGTGTTACAATTGAAGTACATGTTGTCATTCGTGCCAGTGAGTACAACAAGTTTTTAAGCTGAGATCCTATTGTGTGTCTTGTTGTTTACTGGTTTCTTGAGAAAGGGTCTGCCTGCGTATATCAGGCTGGCCTGACACTCACTATGCAGCCCAACTTGTTCTCAAAAGCATGGTGATGCTCCTGCCTCAGCCTCCCTACTTCTGGAATAACAGTCCTGTATCACCACACTCAGCCTAGGATCAGGAGTGTGCAACAAGACTGGGAAACATCTTAAGATCCTATCTTTAAAATTTAAATATGCTGGGAGCACCTCAGCACCTCCTGAGTTCAATCACTTGTGCTGTGGGGACAGTCAACCCTATCTCTTTGTAGCAACTTCCATTTAGTTTTTAGTCTTATACAGAGGAGTCTTCCAGTCTTTAGGCCTGATCCTGAAATTACAGGGGTTCAGTTAT